ATCATGTTGTTCTAGATTGTCATGCCAAAACTGTTACTTTGGCTATTCCATATTTACCTAGGCTGGAGTGGAAGGGTTCGTCGGTTAGTTCATTTAATCAGGTTATTTCTTTTATAAAGGCTCAACACATGGTTGAGAAGGGTTGTTTGGCTTATCTAGCCTATGTTCGGGATACTACTGCAGAGACTCCGGCTATTGATTCAATGCTAGTAGTTTGGGAGTTCTCCGATGTATTTCCTTAAGATCTTCCAAGTATGCCACCTGATCGTGATATTTATTTTTGTATTGACTTGGCTCCAGATACCCAGCCTATATCTATCCCACTGTATCGCATGGCTCCGAAAAAATTCAAAGAATTGAAGGAACAACTTGAAGAGTTATTAGCCAAAGGGTTCGTCGGACCGAGTGTATCGCCTTGGGGTGCACTGGTATTATTTGTGAAAAAGAAGGATGGAACAATGCGGATGTGTATTGATTATTGCCAATTGAACAAAGTCACTATTAAGAACAAGTACCCGTTGACGTGTATTGATGACCTATTTGACTAGCTGCAGGGTGCTAGGGTGTTCTTTAATATCGACTTGAGGTCGGGGTATCATCAGTTGAAGATTCGAGATTCGAATGTTCCAAAAACTGCTTTCTGTACTAGATATGGTCATTATGAGTTTCTGGTAATGTCTTTCGGTTTAACTAATGCCCCGGCAGCGTTTATGGATCTGATGAACAAGGTATTCAGGCCATATATTGATTCGTTTGTCATTATCTTCATTGATGACATTATGATCTACTCGCGCAGCAAGGAGGAACATGAGCAGCATATGAGAGTAGTGCTTCAGACATTGCGGGAACAAAAGCTATATGCTAAGTTCTCTAAATGTGAGTTTTGTCTAAAGTCTGTAGCATTTTTGGGACATATTCTATCGGGCGAAGGTATTAGAGTTGATCCCAAAAAGATTGAGGCAGTTCAGAATTGGCATCATCCCACTACAGTAACTGAGATCAGGAGTTTTCTGGGTTTAGCAGGTTATTATCGTCGGTTCATGGAAGGTTTTTCATATATTGTAGCACCTTTGACCAAATTAACCCAGAAGGGTGTTCAATTCCAATGGTCCAATGATTGTGAGGCAAGCTTTCAGAAGCTCAAGACAACATTGACTACATCACCAATGTTAGTGTTACCTTCCGGTTCGGGAATGTATATAGTGTATTGGTGACGCTTCACGTGTTGGTTTGGGTTGTGTATTGATGCAGGAAGGGCGAGTTATTGCATATGCTTCACGTCAGTTGAAGCCCTACGAGCAGAATTATCTGGTACATGATTTGGAGTTAGCTGCGATTGTTCACGCCCTTAAGATTTGGAGGCATTATCTTTATGGGGTGTCCTGTGAAGCTTATACTGACCATCACAGTTTGCAGTATTTGTTCAAGCAGAGGGACCTAAATTTGAGGCAGCGCAGATGGCTGGAATTACTAAAAGGTTATGATATTACTATCATGTATCATCCGGGCAAAGCAAATGTAGTTGCAGATTCCTTGAGTAGAAAGGCGGAGAGCATGGGTAGTTTGACTTCATTTCAGCAGAAGAAAGGCCATTAGCTTTGGATATCCAATCCTTGGCCAACAAACTTGTGCGGTTAGATTTTTCAGAGCCCAGCCGAGTTCTTGCATGTGTCGTAGCTCAGTCTTCACTATTTGAGTAGATCAAGGCTCGCCGGTATGATGATCCACACTTAATGGTTCTTCGAGAAACGGTACTACGAGGTAGTGCCAAGGAAGTTACTATTGGTGCAGATGGTGTTCTGCGACTCCAGGATCGTCTATGTGTTCCTAATGTGGATGGACTGAGGAAAAATATCATAGAGGAGGCACACAGTTCTCGGTATTCTATTCATCCAGGTGGTACGAAGATGTATCGTGACTTGAGGCAGCACTATTGGTAGCGACGAATGAAAAGGGACATAGTTGAGTATGTAGCTAGGTGTCTAAATTGCCAGGAAGTTAAATATGAGCACCAGAGGCCAGGTGGCCTACTTCAGCAGATGACCATACCAGAGTAGAAATGGGAACGAATTACTATGGACTTTGTAGTTGGGTTGCCTCGGACCTTGAGGAAGTTTGATGCAGTTTGGGTGATTGTTGACAGGTTGACCAAGTCGGCACATTTTATTCCTGTTGTGACTACGTATACTTTAGAGAGGTTGGCCCAGATTTATATTGAGGAGATAGTTCGGTTGCACGGTGTGCCAATTTCCATCATATCAGATAGAGGCCCTCAGTTTACTTCACATTTCTGGAGAGCAGTACAGAATGAATTAGGGACCCGTGTAGGAGGCCGAGGAGGACATGCAGAGAAAATATCCACACTTATTTAGCACTCCAGGTATTATTCTAAACCCGTTCTAGGACGAACGTTTGTTTAAGAGGTGGAGAATGTAATGAACCAACCGCTCATTATAACTTTTAAAACCCCGTTCCCTAAAATAAAACTCCCCCAACATGCTTTTATTAATTTATGACTTGCGGAGATGGTTGGTTCGGGATTTGGAAGCGTTTGGGTTGAAATCGGAACACTTGGTTCCTTAAGTTAGCTTTAAATGGACAAGTTTGACTTCGGTCAACATTTTGAGAAAACGACCCCAGAATCGGAATTTGACAGTTCCAATAGGTTCGTATGATGATTTTGGACTTGGGCGTATGTCCGAATGGGGTTTTGGATAACCCGGGAGCGTTTTGACGCTTAATAGTAAAACTCAACTATTTGAAGGTTTAAAGTTATTTAAATTTGTTTTAGAGTAGATTTTTGAGAAATTGAAGTCTGTTTGGAATTCCGAGTTTGAGAATAGTTTCGTATAGTGATTTAAGACTTGCACGCAAAATTTCGTGTCATTCCGGATAGTTTAAGTACGTTTCAGCGTGTTGGAAGTAATTTGAAGAACTTGAAATTCTTAAGTTTGAATCAATTTGGTTTAGGGTATGATTCTTAGATTTGATATTGTTTTACGCATTTCGAGAGTTCGAGCTAGTCCGTTTTATGATTTTAAACATGTTAGTATGTTGGGGCGGGGTCCCGGGGACCCCGAGTGTCAATCGGACGAGGCTCGGACCAAGTTGGAAGTTGGGAGCCAAAATTGAAGCTCCCAGCTACTGTCAGAATCGCACCTACGCTTGGCCAGTCGTAGGTGAGACATTCGTAGATGCGAGAGAAGCTCGCAGGCGCGGCCCTCGCATATGCAATATTTTGAGCGTAGAAGCGGAAGAAGGGAAAGGGCAATCCACCGCAAATGCGGACGATTTGCGCACCTGCGAACGCGGAGGTGCGAAGCTTTGTGCGCAAATGCGAAAATTGGCCAGGCAAGTGGAACTCGCACCTGCGAGGATTTTCCGCAGGTGCGGTAATCTGTCCGCAGGTGCGAAAGACATGTTTGGCAGAAGGCTTAAAAGAACGAGATTTTACCATTTTGCCCATTCTTCTTTCATGTTTGGGCGATTTCAGAGCTTTTTGAGAGGAGATTTCAACTAGCAATTTGGAGGTAAGTTAATTCTACACCCCTTGAGTTAAATACATAGATTATAAGTAGATTATAACTAGTAAATCTTAGAAATTAAAGGTTTAGGTGAAAAACCTAGATTTTTATAAAAATTAGATTTTAACCACGAAAATAGTTATGGAATTGGGTAGAAATTATATATTTGAGTTCTTGAGATTATGGGTAACGTTTTCATCCGAAAATTTCCAGAATTCGGGCATGTGAGCCCGGAGTAAATTTTAGGAATTTTACCATTTTGGATAGGGTAATTTATTAATAGATGAATTTCGAATTATTGAACATATATTAAATATTTTATATAAATTTCGGATAGTTTCGGATTTTTCGGCATTGAATCGAGAATTTTTACGGACGCGANTTTCTTGTGGAGCGGGCCGAACGCCTCGACAGGATAGATGCATCTATGGATCGCGCCGCACGTCTCTCGGCTATGTACACGACACTCTGGATCGGGTCGTACGTCCTCGGCAGAAATCGTGCTTAATAATAATATTAATTACACGATACTTTAATAATTTATTTCAGTTTGCAAAGCTAATTGATAATTGGAAAATCTTGGAATTTAATGAATTATTATTCTTGCATGTTAAATAATTAATTGTTATTCTTGGAGATGATATTTAATTGCTAAATTGGGAAATTATTTGAATTGAAGGAATTTAATTAATATATTGTGAATTGTTGCATTTGAAGAATTTTGATTAATTTCGTTGATTTAATAAATTATTGTAAATTCTGCAAATCATGCTGATTTAAATATCCTAGTTGTATTTCAATTATTATTATTGCCCCATAGTGAGTGTCAAATTCGGTCATCTCGTCTCTACCACTTCGAGATTAGAATTGATACTTACTGGGTACACGTTGTTTACGTACTCATACTACACTTCCTGCATTTTTTGTGCAGGAACTAAGACAAGTACTAGTGGGGGACCTATCGTCTTGCACCCACGTTATCCAGGGACGTAGTGGTGAGCTATTTCTCTGATCCGTTCAGCAGCTACGAGCGTCTCTCTTTGTATTTTAATAGTGTCTATTTTTATTTCGGATGACATTTGAGATTTTGTATAATCTACTAGATGCTCATACACTTGTGACACCAGGTCATGGCACACACATTGGTAGAGTTTGGGTTTTATTATATTTTCTTGGTTTTAAATTTTATTAATGTATGCTTAATTTGCTAGTTGGCTTGCCTAGCTGTAGTGTTGGGCACCATCACGACTTATAGGTGAAATTGGGCCGTGACACTTTTGTACTCTTATTGTTATAGTGAAATTGCTCCTCTCCGCTTGTGGACGTAAGTCACACTGACCGAACCACGTTAAATTGGTGTCTTCTTTATCTGCTTTAATTGCCGTTGTTATCAACTTCCATTGTCTTTGTTATTGTCATTATACCGTTGTTTGGCTAAATTTCGCATTACTCGGGTTCCCGATCCAAACAAAAACAATTGCAGGGCATCGGTTATTAGAATATTACGGCATGACTGAGGTATTTTTTCCCTCATAGCCCCTTAAATTGATCTGTAGACTGCTCATAACTTTATTGCTCCTTAATTCATTTCCATCTTTATGTGAATGGCGAATTTTGTCTAGTTTGTGATGGCAATATCTAATCCCATTAGAGGCAAATGCAAAGGAGGTACCGTTGGCAAGCCCTTTTCAGCTGTACTGGTTAGTAAGTTTGGTTTTTTTATATAATTTTTATTTTTATTTTTATGGTATTCAACATCTAACTTCACCAAAGTTCAGACATAGTCTACAAATAGCATTATCCAACTTCTCGTTGCTGTAGCTGCGTGGTGAAATATCTTTGACTATTCTGTCATTTCCTGGTTTGATTAGATGATGAAAGTGGGTAGTGATTAATCAGAATTAGGGGAGCTTTGTATTAAGAGCCCTTCGTTGTTCAAAGAATATTGGAAGCTACCTGAGGTAATTAATCACTATACAGTCGGTAGTACGATCTCCAACCATTTCCTGTTTTGATATTCTTTTCCACATAAATTGGCACTAGCGTTTTGTTTATATTCTTCTTCTTTGAGACACCCCCTCTCTCTCTTTCTCTCAAGCACATATTTTATGTTGGCATGTGAGACTAAGTCACCTTTTTTATGTGAAACTGATGACTTCTAATATCATTTTTTTCATTTAAAATTCTCTTTCATTCATCTGGTGAATTACTAGGTAACCAATCAGTCATTTACTGATGATGGGTTCTTTAGGACTGGAGATGATGCTACAGTTGATGAAGATGGATGTTACATCATTTTGGGACGTAATTATTCCACATATTCTATACATGGTACTTGTTTTACTTGGATATTTGGTAATTTTTTTAATACCAATCAATATTCTGACTATCCTCTGCCAATATATTATTATCAATACTAATATTTTTTGTTGTTGTTGTTGTTGTAATGAGATATTGGTGGCAACTTTTCAGAAAGCATGCACCTTTCCGGAATTTCTGCTAAACAACAACAACAAATTCGGTGTAATCGTACAAAGTGAGGTCTGAAAAAGATAATATGTATGTAGACTTTGTCCCTACCTAGTGAAGGTAGAAAGACCGTTCCCTGTAGAGTCTTGGCTCAAGGAATGATGAAAAAGAAACATAGCAGCATGCAGTAGCAACAATACGATAACAGAATAGCCTAAGTGAAAGAAATAACAAAGAAGTAAAAACAAACTACGAATAAGGAGATACAAGAATAATGCCAATATAATTGGTATGGAAAAGAAATACATTCAACTACCTACTAACCTACTACTATAATCCTCCACCTCCATACCCTTCTACTAAACTTTTCAGAAATTCATTTTCTAATTATTTATCTGTGTGTCCAAGGAACCCAAAAGAAGACAATTCTACCGTAGCAAATAACTTCGAAGCGGAAGCATAGATGAATATATATATATCATTGTTTATCAGCCAATTCTTTTTCCAATCCATCAAGCTTTGGCATAATGATCTCCTTTAGGTTTTTGAACTGTATCTATTGGACGAAAATAGTTCATTATTTTCTTTTTCCAGGAGCCAATTCTGATATTATGAAGGTCGGTGGATACAAATTTTCGGCATTGGAAATTGTAATATTACCAAATTTTCATGACATTTGCCATGACATAATATTCATTATAAGGCCAAGAATTTCTTGCTATAAATAGAGGAGTTTCTCCTCATTTGTAAACACACCAATTCAAGAGCTTTTCACTCGTGTCTTTCTTTCTTCTCCTTTATTTCATTATAGAGTATTTTGTAAGAGAGTGAGTGTTGGAAAACACTTGTGTGAACCCTTTTCTTTGGAGTGATCTTGTAAGGTTATTCTCTTGGGGTATTTGGGATTAATTAGAGCATTTACTCTAATTTTATACTCTCTTTTGTACTCTTGTTGGTATAGTGAAATTGATCCTCTCTGATTGTGGACGTAGGTCATCTTGACCGAACCACGTTAAATTTGTGTCTTCTTTATATTCTTTAATTGCCATTATTATCAACTTCCATTGTCTTTGTTATTTTCATTATACCGTTGTTTGGCTAAATTCCGCACTACCCGGGTTCCCGATCCTAACAAATTAGTATCAGAGCCAGATTTAACCAGGTTAGTTTAAATAGCCAAAATGACTCTAACAAAGTCTTATGCTGAGAAATTTGACCGAAGTGCAAACTTCGGAATGTGGCAATTAAAGATTCCAAGCTATCCTAATTCAGGATGACTTAGATTTGGCACTGCAAGGAAAGGAGAAGATGCCGGATAAAATGACGGATGAGGAGTTTGCCGTCATAGACAAAAAAGGCAAAAACAAGTATTATTTTAAATCTTTCAAATTAGGTTTTGCGTGAAGTTGTAGCAGAAAGCTCAGCCAAAGGCATATGGGAAAAGCTTAAAACCCTATATATGAAAAGAACAATAGAAAACAGGCTTTATCTAAAGCAAAAACTCTACACTTTTCGTATGGCTGAAGGTACCTCTATATTTACACATCTTGATACTTTTGATTCTCTTCTTATGGATTTAAGTAACATAGATGCTGAAATCAAATATGAGGATCAAGCTGTGTTATTGCTTGTTTCCTTACCCCAGTTGTTTAAACATATAAGAGATACTATGCTTTACAGAAAGGATAATATCTCTTATAAAGATATCAAATCTATTTTGAAATCAAAAGAACAAATAGATAGAGATATTACCGGGAAAACTAGTGGGAACCAAGGGGAAGGCTTATTCATAAGAGGTAGGTCGAATAAGAAAGATTCAAGTAGTGAGAAACCTAAATCAACGTCAAAATCTAGATACAGAAATGTCATGTGCAAATATTGTCATAAGAAAGGTCACATTATTTTCTGAATGCTTTAAATTGAAAAACAAATAAAATTATACAGAAAAAGAAAAATGAGCACAAAAATACTGACACTGCCGAAGCAAGTGTAGTTGCTGATGAGACTGAGGGAACTATTTTTTTAGCAACTAATAATAGTTTCAAATCTAACAATGAGTGGATTTTAGATTCGGGTTGTTCTTATCATATGTGTCCCAGTCGGGATTTATTTACCACATATGAATCTATTGGAGGTGGAGTTGTCTTGATGGGCAACAATGATGCCTGCAAAGTTATTGGAAAAGGTACCGTCTGAATCAAAATGCATGATGGTGTGGTGAGAACTCTCACCGATATTAGACATGTTCCTGACTTGAAGAAAAATCTCATCTCTTTGGGCACTCTAGAATCTCTTGGGTGCAAGTACACATGTGAAGGTGGAGTTCTGAAAATTTCTCATGGTGCTCTTGTGATCATGAAAGCACGCAGACCTGGTACGTTGTATGCTCTTTTGGGATCTACTGTTACAGGTGTTGCTGCAGTTTCAATATCAGATAAATCAGATTCTGATATCACCAAATTGTGGAATATGCGATTGGGGCATATGAGTGAAAAAGGTATTTCCATTCTCAGCAAAAGAGGTCTCTTATGTGGCCAAAGTACCGGAAATATGGAGTTCTGTGAACATTGTATGTTCGGGAAGCAGAAAAGAGTCAGCTTCAAATCTCCAGCGATTCATAGAACAAAAGGTACTTTGGATTACATTCATTCAGATCTTTGGGGTCCTTCACGTACCCCATCAAAAGGTGGTGCCAGGTATATGTTAACTTTCATTGATGATTATTCAAGAAAAGTTTGGGTTTATTTCCTGAAAAATAAAGTGATGTTTTCTTAAATTTCAAACAATGGAAAGTTTTGATTGAGAAGCAAACAGGAAAACAGGTTAAGCGGCTTAGAACAGATAATGCCTTGAAATTTTGTAATGATGAATTCAACGAATTTTACAAGAATGAAGGAATTGCTCGACATCGTACTGTGAGAATGACACCTCAGCAAAATGGTGTGGCGGAAAGGATGAATAGAACTCTTTTGGAAAGGGCTCGTTGCATGATTTCAAATGCTGGGTTGACAAATGCCTTTTGGGCAGAAGCTATCTCTACAGCTTGTTATATTGTCAACCGAGCTCCTTCTGCACCTTTGAACTTTAAGACTCCAGATAAAGTGTGGTCAGATACTCCTGCTAATTATTCTGATTTAAAGATATTTGGTTGCCCTACATACATGCACGTAAATGATGGAAAATTAGAGCCAAGGGCTAAAAAGTGTATTTTCCTTGGGTATGCTTCTGGGGTGAAAGGATACCGACTATGGTATCCTTATCCCCTGACACCAAAATTTATAATTAGCAGAGATGTAACCTTAGATGAATCCTCTATGTTACATTCTAGAAAAGAGTCTTCTAGTTCTTGTGATACAGATAAAGGAAAGTGTACATAGAAACAGGTGGAGATTGAGATTGGCATTCCTTCTGAGCCAAGCTCATCAACTTTGGAGCAAAATACAGTTGAAACTCCTAAAGTTGAGACAAAAGCTGAAATTCCTAAAGTTGAACCTCCTGAAGTTGAACCAGAAGAAGAGGAGTATTCTATAGCCAAACATAGACCAAGAAGAGAAGGTAAACAACCATTAAGGTTTGGAGATTATGTTGCATTTGCTTTTTCAGTTGCACAGAAAACTGAAAAAATTGGAGAACCATCAAAATATTTAGAAGCAATTTCTGGTGCTGACTCAGCCAAATGGCTGATTGCAATGAATGAAGAAATTGAGCCTCTCCACAAGAATAGTACTTGGTCTCTTGTGAAGCCGCCATCAGGAAAAAGAATTGTTGGTTGCAAATGGGTCTTCAAAAAAAAGGATGGCATTCCAGGGGTTGAAAATGCGAGGTATAAGGCACGATTAGTTGCAAAGGGCTATAGTCAGGTACAATGAGTTGATTTCAATGATATTTTCTCACCTGTTGTTAAACATAGCTCTATTCGTGTCTTGCTTGCCTTCGTTGCCATGTATGATTTGGAATTAGAACAACTTGATGTTAAGACAACTTTCTTACTTGGCGAACTTGAGGAACAAATATACATGCATCAACCCGAAGGATTTGAAATTGAAGGAAAAGAAGATCATGTTTTCTTGTTGAAGAAATCCTTGTACGAATTAAAGCAGTCTCCAAGACAATGGTATAAAAGATTTGATTCCTTTATGTTGGGTTATGGTTATCCGAGGAGCATGTATGATAGTTGTGTTTACTTCTGAAAGTTAAATGATGGTTCATTTGTGTACCTATTATTATATGTTGATGACATGCTCATTGCTGCTAAGGATTTAACAGAAATTCACAATTTGAAAAGTAAGCTAAAAAGTGAATTTAAGATGAAAGATTTGGGAGTAGCTAAGAAAATCCTTGGCATGGAGATCAAAAGAGATCGAAAAGCCATCACGTTATTTCTGACCCAGAAGAAGTACTTGGAAAAAGTCTTGGAGAGGTTTGGCATGAAAGATGTTAACCAGTTAGTACCTTTCTTACTGCTCATTTTAAGTTATCAGCTGCTCAGTCCCCGCAGTCAGAGGAAGAAGAGAGGTACATGGCACAGGTTCCTTATTCCAGTGCAGTCGGCACTATTATGTATACAATGGTTTGTACACATCTAGATATTTCACAAGCAGTGGGTGTGGTAAGCCGGTATATGGCTTGCCCTGGTAAAGTATATTGGCATGTTGTGAAATGGATTCTCAGATACTTGCGAGGTACTTCAAACACGTGTTTGGAGTTTGAGAGAAATACTAACACTTTGGTTGGTTTTGTAGACTCAGATTATGCAGGTGATCTTGACAAAAGAAGATCACTGACAGGCTATGTATTTTGCATCGGTGGTTACGCTATTAGTTGGAAATCTACATTATAACATGTAGTAGCTTTATCTACTACCGAAGCAGAATATATGGAAGTGACCGAGACGATCAAAGAAGCTTTATGGTTGAAGGGTCTATTTGCGGAACTCGATTTACACCAAGGCGGTATTACCATTTTCTGTGATAGTCAAAGTGTCATTCACTTGACTAAAGATCAAATGTATTATCAAAGGACGAAGCACATTGATATAAAGTATCATTTCATCCGAGAAACCATTGCTGAAGGAAAAGTCTCTGTTCAGAAGATCAACACTAGAGACAATCCTGCTGACATGTTCACAAAACCTCTTCCAGTGTCCAAGTTCAAGCTTTGCCTGAACTTGATTTGCATTTATGAAGAATGATTTTGCCCATTGGGGTTTTCGCGGAGAAGGTGGAGCAAATTTACTATATATAAGCTGAAATTAGGCCAAGGTGAGATTTGTAATATGACCAAATTTTCATGATATTTGTCATGACATAATATTCATTATAAGGCCAAGGATTTCTTGCTATAAATAGAGGAGTTTCTCCTCATTTGTAAACACATCAATTCAAGATCTTTTCACTCTTGTCTTTCTTTATTTTCATTTATTTTATTATAGAGTATTTTGTAAGAGAGTGAGTGTTGGGAAACACTTGTGTGAACCTTTTTCTTTGGAGTGATCTTGTAAGGTTATTCTCTTGGGGTATTTGGGATTAATTAGAGTATTTACTCTAATTTTGTACTCTCTTTTGCACTCTTGTTGGTATAGTGAAATTGATCCTCTCCGATTGTGGATGTAGGTCATCTTGACCGAACCACGTTAAATTTGTGTCTTCTTTATATTTTTTAATTGCCGTTATTATCAACTTCCATTGTCTTTGTTATTGACATTATACCGTTGTTTGGCTAAATTCCGCAATACCCGAGTTCCCGATCCTAACAGAAATTGAAGCAGTTCTGTTGGAGGTAGCTGTTTATCCATCTATAATATGAACTGCCCTTTTGAAATTCCATTGCTTCAGATTTTTTCCTTGGAAACATGTATCCGAAAAAAAAAAGATTTTGACTGCCAACATACTGATTCTGAGTATATACATTTCCTTTTCACATCATCCAGCTATATCAGAATGTTGCGCGGTGTGTGAAATTGTTGTTCCTTACTCTGAGCTCAAAGGAAGTAGAGATGAGGAATTAAAACTTGCACTAAGATTCCAAGAACTTTCAGATTGGGCAAAAGAGAGACTTGCCCCTTATAAGGTATCTCCCTTGTTTCGTGAAGTATTCCCCTGAGCTCAAAGGAATTTGACACAAAATCCTTATGCAAGATATCGCGTGAATCTTAAGACGCGTATTAGGCAGTAATTGCTAAGTCACCTGCCATATAGCAGAGGTTTTTAGTTCTCCCACGGAACTATATTCCTTCTTTACGTTCAGAGGCTCCTAATTTCCCAAATCAGGATAGTGTTCATGACATTAATGAGCGAGCGAGAGAGAGAATGATTGAAAAATTACATGGCCGGGGATTATGGATTTTGGCTCTTATTCTGTTGATATTGTTTTACTATTAACTTACCGGAAAAAAAGTGATTTGCTTGTTTTGCAAGATAATCAAGTATAGTGATCAAGATATTCGTATTAAACTAATGCTTGTCGCTCCACCTATACTACTGTCACACCCAAATTCCTTCCGTAGGAAGTTGTGACGGACACTAGTATCTAAAACTAGGTAAGCCTACCAACATGCGGAAAAAAGTTGAAATAACAACTTAAAAATCTCAAAACTTCAACAACTGCATAAATAAAATCTGTAACTCAAAATATACAACTCCCAAAACCTGGTGAAGTATAAGTCACAAGCTCTAGTAACAATTTTGAACAATCCTATATATCATTGTCTAAGATAGTGTAATGAAATAAGGAAAAACATGATAGAAGGGGACTCCGAAGCCTGCGGACGCGGGCAGGTATACCTTGAAGTCTCCAAAGCAACCTCAACTCACGAATGTCGGGACTGATAGGAAGTACCCGAATCTGTATAAAAAGATGTGCAGAAGCGTAATATGAGTACACCACATCGGTACTTAGTAAGTGCCAAGCCTAACCTCGGTAGAGTAGTGACGAGGTAAGGTCAAGGCCTTACTGGAGATAATATGAAACAAGACGAAAGATATAATAATATAATGATAATGACAAAAGAAATGAAACAATAAGAAATTTACGGAAAGTTACAACACAGAATCAAGGCAGTTAATACAATACGGAAGGAAACAAGGGTTTACATGTTAAGGAAACAAACAACCAAGGCAAATACAGGAAATAGAGAAAGATCAACAAGGGCCACTACCGAGGTACCGTCTCGTAGTCCCAAATCATAAAAGTAAATCACAGTCTTACCTTATATCACCGCGGGAGCCTTTACATTTATTTTTGAAAATTATTTTTCGGAAATAGCATCCCGCGTTTTAACCTACCTTATCACACCACATGACTTCTAGTAGTTCCCCTACTAGCCGCACGTATTGTAACGACCCGATCGGTCATTTTGCTTTCTAGAATTTCGTTACCCTAAATAAAACTTTTCGTACATGCTCTTACTATTTTATGACTTGCGGGAATGGTTAGTTCGGGATTTGGAAGGCTTCGGGTTGAAATCGAAACACTTGGTTCCTTAAAGTTGGCTTAAAAGGCCAAGTTTGGCTTCGGTCAATATTTTGAGTAAATAACCTCGGAATCAGGATTTGACGGTTCCAATAGGTTCGTATGATGATTTCAGACTTTGGCGCATGTTCGGATCGAGTTTTGGATGACCCGAGAGCGTTTCGACGCCTAATAGTGAAAGTTATTTCTTGAAGGTTTTAAAAGTTCCTTAAATTTGGTTTGGAGCGAGTTTTCGTTAAATTTGATTTGGAGCGGATTTTTATAATATCGAGGTCCCAATGGAATTTCGATACCGGGAATAGTTCTGTAATGTCATTTAGGACTTGCACGTAAAATTTAGTGTCATTCCGAGGAGTTTAAGTACGTTTCGGCGCATTGGAAGTAAATTGAAGAACTTGAAGTTCTCAACTTTGATTCAATGGGTTTTGGGGCGCAATTTTTAGTTTTAATGTTGTTTTGGGTGTTCCAAGAGTTCGAGCGAGTCTGTTTTATGATTTCAAACTTGTTCGAGTGTCAATCGGACGAGGCTCGGACCAAGATGAGAATTTGGAGCAGTAGCTGATGCACCAGATATGTCGAAACCGCACCTGCGCTTGGTCAGCCGCAGGTACAAGCTCGCAGGTGCGGGCCAAGCCTCGTAGAAACAACCAAAGGAGGGCAGCCCAGGTTCCGCAGATGCGGCCCATCCTCCGCAGAAGCGGTCCCAGCTGGCCCAGTGAATTACACAGAAGCGGACCTTGTCCGCAGAAGTGAGGGCGCAGGTGCGTCCCTATGACCACAGGTGCGGAAACTGCAGGAGGTAGTGAGCCTCATTTATTACGAGTTAGGACCATTTTTATCACATTTTCATCCACTCTTGGGCGATTTGAGATCTTCTAAGGAGGGGATTTCGACCTAGCTTTTTGAGCTTAAGTAATTTCTTCTAAATATGAGTTTAGTACATATATTATGGGTAGATTTCCACATGAAAATTGGTAAAAATCATGGGTTGAGATGAAAAACCTAGGGTTTAATAAAAAATGAGATTTTACCACGAAAATGATTATGAAACTTAGTGAAAATCGTATATTATGTTCCTAAGTTTATGGGTAACAACTTTCTTTAAAGGTTTCCGGAATTCGGGCGTGTGGGCCTGGGGGTGAATTTTAGGAATCTTGCAATTTTGGTTGGGTAATCACTTTAATAGTGGAGATATGAACTTTTGAGCAATAGATTGATCGATTTATATAGTGTTTGACAAGTTCCGAGTCGTTTGGCATCAAATTGGAGGTTTGAGCGCATTCTTGAATTAGGAAGTAAGCTTTGAGACGAGGTAAGTCTCTTTTCTAACCTTGTAAGAGGGAATTTACTCCATAGGTGAACTTAATTAATATGTGTTGTTATTTGTGGAGGCTACGTACGCACGAAGTGGCGAGAGTCCATACGTAGCTACTATTCCTGTTGATGTCCGGGTAGTTTTAGGTTTACACTATGCTTGCGAATACCGTTATTTAATTATATTTGTTGACTGTATCAAATGGAACTGAGTTGAGGATTTTTAAGGATTTAAAAGCTTCAAGTCGAATTGTCTTTATTTTGAGAAGAATCAAGGAAGGGTTATGATTTATTGACAAATTTATATTTGACCGCGTCGCATGTATGATTCACTAGCGAGGTAATAGATGCATCTATGGTTCGCGTCGTTCGACCCTCGGCAGTGCACAATTTATATTTATGTTGGATCGGGCCGAACGTCCTCGGTGGTATTCGTGTGTGATAATAGAACTGGAAGTTCCTTTCATAATCGGTATAAATTCATTGTTTGTGTGATCTTATGTTTTAATGGAATGAAGTAATTCAAGCTCTTAAATATTTCTGAAGACTTGTTCAGTTATTTCTTCTTCTGAGTCTTATTGTTGTATATCATGCTTAATTAAAATTTCATATTATCATATTATTGGCCCTAGTAAGTGTCGGAGTCGACCCCTCATCACTACTTTTTCGAGGTTAGACTAGATACTTACTGGGTACATATTAATTATGTACTCATGCTACACTTCTGTACTTAATTGTACAAGATCTGGGACAGGTGCATCTGGTTACCAGTCTAGTGCGCAGATTTGATCCCTTCTCGAGACTTCACGGTGAGCTGCCTTCCGAGCTGTTTTGCAGCAGCTGGAGTCTCCCTTATGTTTTATTTTTTTCTGTCTATTTCATTTCAGACAGTAGGTTACTGTCCTTTTGTATATTCTACTAGATTGCCCACATACTTGTGTCACCAGGTCTTGGCACACACATTAGTAGACTTATGATTTTGGATTTGTTTACATGATTACGATTTGTACTCGTTTGCTTTCGTTTAAATATGTCAGATTCGCAAATTTCTAATTCTCTTTAACAAATGAGGAAATGTAATCCACTTAGTATTTTATTTAAATGGGAAACCATTAGTTTGATCAGTGATGTCTTGCCTAACAATAAGGTTGGATGCCATCACGGCCTAAGATGGAATTGGGTATTGGGTCGTGACAACATGGTATCATAGCTCTAAGTTCACATAGGTCTCACAAGTTATGGGCAGACCTAGTAGAGTCTTGCGGATCGGTGCAGAAATATCTGTACTTATCTTCGAGAGGCTATAGGGTGTTAGGAAAATACTTTTTATTCATCTCCTATCGTGCAGTTGGAGCTATACTAAAACCCTTTCTATCATTCTCTCACAGATGGTGAGGACGCATACGACAGACATTCCAGACCCGGGAGGAGCTGCTTCCCCTGTTGCTACAGGCCAAGGTAGAGGTTGGGGGAGGGCACCGGCCCGAGGTAGGGTACTAGGGCATCCCAGAGCTACCCCGATAGAACCACCAGTGGATCCAGTGGAGGGTCCCATCATTGAGGAGCATGGCGAGGTGCCCGCCACAGAGCCAGCCTCGGTAGATTTCATGTCAGCATCGGGTTTTCAGGAGGTCATGAGCCGTATGCTGCGGTTCATGGACACTATGACTCAGGCTGGTTTATTTCCAATAGACCCAGCCACATCTCAGGCGGGAGGGGGAGCATATACCCCTACTGCCCAGGCCCCATGGCATGCAGCTGCAGTATATCAGACTCCGGGTACACTGCTCGTGGGCGGAGCCCAACCAGTTGCAGCGGTTGCACCTGAGCCTAGATCAGCTGCGGACGGTGATCCACAGAAGCTATTGGATAGATGGACTAGGCTACACCCTCCTATCTTCAGGGGTGAGCGGCACGAGGATCCCCAGGACTTCATTGAACGGTGCAGAGATAGACTGCACAACATGAGGATATTGGAGTCCCATGGGGTGGATTTCACTTTTTCCAGCTGGAGAGCAGGGCCCGTAGATGGTGGCAGCCTTATCTACTTAGTAGACCAACGGGTTCTCCTCCCATGACTTGGGACCAATTTACATAGCTTTTCTTGGACATGTATATTCCACCCTCTCAAAGGGAAGAGTTGCGAGGTCAGTTTGAGCAGCTCGAGCAGGGTCAGACGTCAGTGACCAATTATGAGGCGAGATTCTCTAAGTTATCTCGCCATGCACTTATGATACTTCCTACCGACGCAGAGAGAGTGCGGAGATTTGTTGCGGGGTTGCACC